GGAAAGCACAAGTATCGATCTAACGACTGGGGAGTATCGGCGAGCCGGCGATTTGGGCGACTCGGTATTTTCGGCGATTGCACGCCAAAGGACCGGGTGTTTATTAGTCGGCGCTGGTCGCTGGTAACTAGCTCCCCAGTTGCAAGTATGAAGGCGGCTTTATATGGGTGGAGGAATAGGAATGACCAACTATATAATAAGAAATATAACACACAAACATTTTCTTCTACCCGCTAGACCGTACCCGTACAACAACACAGGTAGACTTAGGAAAACTGAGGTAAACTACAAGTACAGGTAAACTAATAAAAAGAAAACTAAAAGCAGTCGGGAAACAGCACGATAGAGAACAACACGAAATGAAACTAAAATTCTAATCTAATGTGCTACTGACATTTCCGGGTCGAGATACTCCACACTTCGGGTCATCTGACTCCTTCCACGTCCGTCTGCACGTAATCCTGCTCGACGGGGCTGAGTTGGTGGCGATGAGTCGCCAAACAGGCCCGAGAAACTGCAACAATTGTAGGTAATAAAAATATAAATAAAATATTCAGAGGACCTAAATAAAGATGTTAGCTAATGGGTGCTAAAAAGGCGCTGATCGCCTTGAGAAGGTTGCACGACCAACTCCTTGGCTCTACAAAAAGGATTCTGCCTACGCTTAAAGGCAGTTGGCACGATGGTTTCCTACTTAGCCTAAAATGCTAGTAGGGCGCTGTATAGTGGGGAAATGGCGAAAAAAGTGAAACGGTCAAAATCCTGCGAAGAAAAAGCCTCCTCAGTGACTTGTAAATCGATTTCGGACGAGTTTCCCGTAGGCATCTTACCAATCACCGCTACCGAAGATACGGCTGCATATGTGTACCCATGTATGCATGCAGCATCACGGCCGCTTCATACCAATCCCTTCGCTTCATAATTTGCTTAGCAAATGAATGAATACGAGCGTCAGGAACGGTCGTCCATTTGTGGGCGGGCGGGCGTGGCGGGCGTTTGGGACGTAAAGTTGTGGCTTGATAGGGCCCTTATAAGGGCACCTTCCTCGGGGAAACCGCTATGCAGCGCCTGCCCAGGGTCGCGGAATTCTATCCTGCCAGGAGTATCAATCCTAC